GAGCCTGGAAGAAGGCCTTCTCATTCATGGCACCAAAAGAAGAAGGAGATTGGATTTATACCCCGCCCTTCACTCAGAGTCTCAGAGCAGTTTACAACCCCCTTCCCCGCCCCACAACAGACATCCTGTGAGGTAGGTGGGGCTGAGAGAGCTCTGAGAGAATTCCTCTTGAGAGAACAGCTCTGAGAGAACTGTGACTGACCCAGCCGGCTGCAAGTGGAGGAGTGGGGAATCAAACCCGGTTCTCCCAGATTAGAGTCCGTGCTCTTAACCACTACACCAAACTGGCTCTCTGAGGAACACCTCCTGGGGACTTGCCTGCCCCCTTCTGTTGCCATGTTCTGCCAGTGGTTGGAGACTTTTGTTTCATTGGGCATTCCTTCAGTGATACCTCCTTCCTACCCAATTTTGTAATTGTTGTTTGGACAACACTGTCAGCAGCTCTTCAGGGTCTCAGAAGCCTTTTGCATCGTCCCATCTTTTTAACTGGAGGTACTGGGGAATGAGGAGCTGTGGTGGCTCAAGTGGTTAAGACGCTGAACTGCAGGCTGTGGAAGGTCAGTAGTTCAGCAGTTCGAGACCCGAGTGTGCCGCATGACGGAGTGAGCTCCCGTCTCTAGTTCCAGCTCCTGTCAACCTAGCAGTTCTCGGAAAGCAAGAAACTGCAAGTAGATAAATAGGGACCACTTCGGTGGGAAGGTAACAGCGTTCCGTGTGCCTTGGTGTTTAGTCATGCCGGCCACATGACCACGGAAACGTCTTCGGACAGCGCTGGCCCTTCGGCTTTGAAACGGAGATGAGCACCACAACCCTAGAGTTGGACCTGACTGGCTTTCAAGCAAGGGAACCTTTACCTTTTTACTGGGGAATGAGCTTAGGACTTTCCACATACAAAGCAGATGCCGTGCATTAGAGCACGGGGGGGGAAACAAACTAAAAATCTTAACATATGAAGCTGCCTCGTACTCGCAGAGCATCTAGCTCAGTTACTCTGACTGATAGTGCCTTTACAGAATTTCAGGCAGAGAAAGGTCAAAGACCCTTCAGCTGGAGATGCTGGGGAGTGAACCTGGGACCTTCTGCATGCAGACATGCCCTCTTAACACTGAGTCACGGCACATCCATGACAATGAAAAGCAAATCCCACAATGCAAGTTATCATTGCACGTGGCTGCTGGGTCTGAAGAAGATGGAGACAGCCGGCATAGCAAGCTCTTACAAGATACAGAGCCACTGCAGAACAAAAGTATTAGAAACAGCGTTGCAAGCGCATGACACATTTTGTGTGGATTAACCAATGTGATGGTTTCACACACAAATGCTACTGGATCTACAACAAACCTTTTTGGGCCTAAAATATTCACCTGACAAACAGATTAACAGCACGGCACCCAGAGAAAATGTGTTGCAAGATAGGCCCAAAGGAAATAATATCAGAACATCACTAGTGGTCACATACACCTTTCAACTCAAAACAATTCAACGCCTCATTGGCAATTTATAACCTCTATTGGATAATTACGGTTCTCTTTCACCTTTTCTTGAACACAGACAGCCTCCCAATCTTAAACAACTCCTTACCCACAATAACACAACATCTAAATTTGAACATGGACATTGGCACCAAGAGCTTGCAATAAACCCAGATGCCAACTTTGCTGCCGCATACACCCAGACAACATAATCACTGGACCTATCAACTACACCATCTCAGGCTCATTCATTTGCTTCTAACACTGTATATGCCATTGAATGCCAATAAATCCCTTTGGATCTCTACACAGGGGAACCCTATGCCAAAGGATAAATGGACACAAATCTAGCATCAAGAATCACAAAGCTGAGAAACCTGTGGTAGAACGCTTCAACCTCCCAGGACATTCAACGGGGGAACTCAAAGCAGTTGTTTTGTTGTAAAGGAGTTTTAGAAACAGACTAGAACGAGAGATTGCTGAGTTACAAATTATTACAGCACTCAGGACCAATGTTCCCTCTAAGCTGTGGAGTCTTGTGAGCAAAAATTCTACTTTGTGAGCTACTGGCATTAAAGTTGTGAGCAAGCAATTTGGCTACTGCATAAATTACTTTGCTCTGGAGCCATCCTTTCTGAGTTGAGACAAAAATGTGTGAGCCAGAGGCTAAAAAACTGTGAGCTAGCTCACACGAACTCAGCTTAGAGGGAACACTGCTCAGGACAATGGAACCCCCGGGGCTATATTGGCTTCTTATCTCACTACACATGCTAACATCATTCAGTTCTCACATATGCTGCAAACTTTTATTATGCTGTATACTAATTTGCTGCTGTTCATGTGTCTTACCGATCGCCTTCATCCAGTCTTAGCTATATTTACTGCTCAATTACTTATGCATCTTGAGTCTAATTGAACCTTCCTGGTAACACCCTCCCCACCCTCCAGCAATGTGTAATGGTTGGTGACTTCTGTTTCAGTGTATCTGAAGAACTGTGCACGCACAAGAAAAACCTAAACCCAGAATAAAACATTGGCCTCGGCCACACGGGCAGGAAAATCCGGGGGGGGGGGGTGGCTGTTTGCCCCGGAGCAAACTAACGCGCGACTGCGCGATCAGGCATCGGGTTGAGGTCCCGTCGAGCTCCCGTGGTTAGGGGGGAGGTGCCGATCACACGACGCGGCAAAGAAGCGGGGCGGCGCAGCAAACGGGGTTGTATTTAAAAAAAAACAACCCTGAAATGTGCACATGCTCTGTTGGGTGCTTGTGCGCATCCGTGGAGACTTGGAAAAAAACAAACCTTTTTGCGAGGGGACATGGGTGGGCGCCGGAACTACCACCGGAAACGCGATCAGACGCCCGCCCTTGCCCCGCAGTTTCCGGAAACTAGTACCTTCGAGGTACTAGTTTTTTACCCCACATCTTCGGCGGGAAGCCTCGGGTGCGCCACAGCAGCTCTACGCTTCCCAGATGTGGCGGTGAGATCGTGCCCGGAAAATCCGCCTATCTTCCGTCTCTCTAGCGTGTCTAATGCTCCGTGTGACCGGGCCCTTTGTTGGTCTTACAGGTGCCACTGGACTTGAACTTTGCTCCGCTACTGGGTGGAGGTTCCAAATTAAAAGGGAAAGGATTTCAAATTCTATATAGTCCTTTGTATTCCTAGATGGAGCAACCAACAGCAGTGCAAAGGAACACAGCAGAACCAACTTGCTTTCTCTCAGCCTCCCTCCAACCCAGGAAAGAATGGGTGGGGATTCAAACACAGAGGACTTCAAGAAACATTTCCAAAAAAATAAACACAGAGGAACACAATCAACAGGAAGTCCTTCTTGCAACACAATAGTCCAGTTTAAGGACTCTGAGATCCAACACAAGGAAGTTCAAGTTTACGGAATACGAAGAATGAGCTCCAGCACAGAACAATTGGAACAATACCTGCAGGGAATCCACATTACTGTAAATTAGTATTAACAGTGTGTGGGCCAGAAAAGTATGACACGTAACTCCTAGCTGAATCGTGCCTTTCAATCCAACATCAGTCAAAGCCTAGTGGCTCCTAGTCTGATCATGATGACTATCCATGCACAAAGGAAAACAGGATCTCCCGCTACTTGATTACTGAAATTATTTACAACCAGTTGGGGAGCCCGCAAGGAACTGCAGCTAGGAAAAACAAACAACTGGAAAGCTTCCCTCTCCAGCCCAATTCCCCTCCCTCCTAAATACAATAGAGCACTTGGGGGTTGAGCAAGCCAAGTTCCCCATCCTCCTCTCTTTTCCGCTCTCTTTTTAAAAAAACTGATGCTCAACATTTCGTGCCTCCCAGGGGGCATGGGGCATGCTCGATCCTCATTCGAGGGGAGAGGGGGGTTTCCAGGCTTTTGAAAAATCTCCAAATATTTTTCCACATAGGTGGAAATTACACAGAAACCTTCACCTTGTCTGTGGGCTTCCCATTAGGCACTCGACCATCAAGTTTGCTATCAGAAAAAATAATGATGCTTAAAAACTTGGGCATTGCTGCTTAAGGCCAGATAAAGTAGGAGAGCTGACATGCCTACAAAACTGATGAATAGCTTTCTGCACGTGAAGTACTGATAAGAGCACTAGCTCCTCATTATAAGGCAACCTTGAGGAAGGATTTCTAATATGAAATGGTCTTCCAAGCTCCGAATCTGTCAGTTGTCGCATTGCACAGCTGCATGCTTTCTACGAAAAACTTATTTCTGCTGTAAAATCAACAATAGTAACTGTATATTGAGCGCTTCGTTTGACGGACTTTGTGAATGCCTCAAACAAAGTGTGATCCTTTATAAATGTTGTTCACATTGGAACTGGTAAATTTATTGGTACTTGCAGTGTTTTTCTTTTTTATATACAGTTAAGATACATCTGGAATCCAAAGAGCTCTTGCAAGGACATCCAAGGTCCCGCACACACCCAAAGTGGCAGTGTGCATGCGCAGGAGGGGTTGCCGTTGAAAAGGGAATTCTGCCAGTTGTCATTCCACTGTCCCAGCATCATTATGACCGGTCTTTTCTAAGGAGTTAACTCTAAAGGCAAGAAGCCATAACGTAGATAAGTTTCACATTATGCATCCATTCTGCTAACGGCAGCATTTTCCACCACTGTAAGAAGCTCTTCCATTGGAAAAAGAGCCTCTTGCATCAATTGAAGGCTTCTTGCCCTGCAGGAAAAAAGCACTGCCCTTAGAGGAACCTGATCTGACTTCTCAGTGTGTGCTAAACCACCCAATGTCTGGCCTGCTGCAAGCAACTGTATAGATACCTAAACCAAGAATTGATCTCTTCTTCTCTGCAGGTCTAAAAACAGAGAGAAGAACACCATGTCCTAGCTAACAGCGTGCTTTGCACACACACCAAAAAAATCTATAATAGATACCTATGTGACTATTACGACAAGCTTACTATTATTAATCCGAGTTACATTCTGCCCTTCCCGCCCTCAAAATGCTGGTCAATGGGGATAAATTGGGAAGATTCAGCGTTTCAGCTAAAAAAACATACCAGTCTTGGCTATTAATAGCATCTCCGTATCCTGGTGTGTCTACTACCGTCAGGCGAAGCTTTACCCCTCGCTCTTCTATCTCTACGGTGGAAGCTTCAATTTGAACCGTTCGCTCGATCTTTTCTGTAGGGAATTTTTGGGAAAGAAGATGTTGAAGGGGTAATTCTTTCTTGTCTGTCAAGCCAAAAACAACAACAGCCCATTTTTACTCAAGCAACCAGCAACCAAGAGCCTTCTAGATTTAAAACAAAACACACAGAAGCTGCTAAAGTTGAAATTTTTAAAAAAGAAAGAAAATTCAGGAGGAAAACTACATAACAGCCCCACATAAAGACACGCTTAATGCGGAATAACATATGCAGCTACTCGAGTGGAATAATGAATGGGGGAAGAGGCCAGAACACGTGACAAATTCTCTGATGCTGCTAAGGTGATGTTTACCTAGCTGAACCATTCAAAGGAAAGCATCAGAAATAATGTAGTCATCTAGGGGAGCACAAAACAGAAGACAGCCAGAAGCTACTGATGTGGACAAACAATAATCTGAAACAGACCCCTTATAAAACAAAATACAATAAGATACAAGCTAGAAGAACAAAAAGCGATTGGATTTATACCCCGCCATTCACTACCTGAAGGAGCCTCAGAGCAGTTTACAACCTCCTTTCCCTTCCCCTCCCCGCAACAGACACCCTGTGAGGTAGGTGGGACTGAGAGAGCTCTGAGAGAACTGCTCTTGAGAGAACAGCTCTGAAAGAACTTGTAACTGACCCAAGGTAACACCAGCAGCTGCATGTGGAGGGGGGGGGGTTGGGACTCAAACCAAATTCTCCCAGATTAGAGTCCGCGCTCCAAACCACTACACCAAACCAGATCTCAAGCTAGAATGCTATTTACTGAAAAGGTCCATCATTGCCAAAATATAGGAATCGCCCTTTGGGGAAACAGAAGCAGGTAAGGAAAGTGAAGTCAGAAGTGGTCCAGAACAGCACAGCTTACCTGCAGCTCCAGGAATGTAACGTTCAGGATAGAGGTCGGTCAGGAACAAACTGTTTATTAAAGTGGATTTCCCCAAGCCAGATTCACCTGCATACAAAATTATTCAGTTAAAATTTACCCCTTTTTCGTGTATGTTGCAGTTCATCACACAGCAGTTTTTCCTCCTAACACCTACCCTAATTTATAAGATAACAGCATCAGAGGCTTTACTAAAACAGACTGGAAAAGAAAAGGAGGAAAACAACCCTTAATGCTGTGCGACACAAAAATTCTACATTTAAACCACCCATTCTCGGTAAGCAAGTGGAAGGACAAAATTAAGCAAGATTTTCTTCAAATAAACCTCAACGTTCTTTTGACAAGCCTTACGTTAACTGGACAGGCACATTCATGCATCAAGCCAAACACTGGGGGAAATTGTCAGAGCAGATGACATCAACAGGCGAAAAAGTAAATTCACTCCTTTAAAGTCAACACACACATCTCCTACAAAAGTCACATAACATTGGTCCTTTTTGTTTTTAAGGTGGCAGTCATAACGAGGGGGTACTACTAAGCTGCTGGCCTTTCTTGCAGCCTTTGTGCTGAACATTGGTCCAGCTGGACCAGGGGTCTTTTCTAGAACCTTTCTACTGAGCACAGGACATGCTGAGCTGCAAGCATGTGACAGGAAGCCATATGACCTCAGAATCATGTGATGAGGACCAGAGCTATAAACTTGCTGGTGTCCAGGTCAAGACCGTGGGCACGGATAAGGGACAGCAAACCACAGCCAAGAAGGTGTGATGTAGTGAGGAATAAGCCAAGAACCAAAACCATGAAAAAATTCCCTCCAGCCACTGAGTGACCGTCTCTCATCAGTCCTCTTGCTCCTCTCAAAAGTGTAACCCTTTCCCAGACCTGTTATCCAAGTCATAATAGGCCACACCCAATAACAGAAACTCATTAGCATATTAGGCCACACCCCTGACAGCACAGCTCATTAGCATATTAGGCCACTCCCCCATGTTACCAGACATGTGCTCATCCAGCCACACCCACCTTTTGCTTCTTATTCTGTTTACCTTGTTTGTTGTCAAAACCCAGGGCTTTTTTGTAGCAGGAACTCCTTTGCATGTTAGACCACACACCCCTAATGTAGCCAATCCTAATGAGTTTCTGCTGTTGGGTGTGGCCTATTATGCTAATGCATTCCTGTTGGGTGTGGCCAACTTGGAAGCCAGCCGGAACTCCATTCCTGTGCGTTCATGCCCAAAAATAGCCCTTTCCAAGATCCTTTACCTGGAGATGCTGGGGAATTATCATGCAAAGCAGGTGCTCCGACATTACAGGACCTTCTGCATGCAAAGGGCTGTGGCTCAGTGGCAGAGCATCTCCCTGGCATGCAGAAGGTCCCAAGTTCAATCCCCAGTATCTCCGGTTAAAAGGATCGGGTAGAAGGCAATGTGAAAGACCTCTGCCTGAGACTCTGGAGAGCTGCTGCCAGTCTGAGTAGACAATACTGACCTTGATGGACCCATAGTCTGATTTGGTATAAGAAGAAGAGGAAGAAGCGATTGCATTTATACCCTGCCCTTCACTACCCAAAGGAGTCTCCGAGCAGTTTACAATCTCCTTTCCCTTCTCCTCCCCACAACAGACAACCCTGTGAGGTAGGTGGGGCTGAGAGCTCTGAGAGATCTACCCTTGAGAGAACAGCTCTGAAAGAACTTGTAACTGACCCAAGATCACACCAGCAGCTGCATGTGGAAGAGTAGGGCATCAAACTCAGTTCTCCCAGATTAGAGGCTGTGCTCCTAACCACTACACCAAACCGGTTTCTCAGACACCAAACTGACTAACAAAGCGTGGAGTTCGTCCCAGCCAGGAACATCAACGCCAGATGTCCTCGCTTCCTAACCACTACACCAAACTGGCTCTTATGTGTAGCTTCATGTGTTCAAAGCATGAGATCTAGCACTGAGCTATGGCCCTTTTTGTGCATTAATTCATGTTTTAAGTCTTCTGGACCCAACAATTTCCCAGTATTTCAGAGTTCTCAGCCCCCCTATTGCTTTGGCTATAAAAGATACTTTGGAAAACCAGACTGACCCCTTGAACCACTCGGGAGCTGCATACAGCAAAAAAAAAGAAAACAGACAGAATCTTAATTCACGTGTGCTTGGAAGAAAGCAGGGAAGATTTGCTCATCCCACCACTGTGCACCAAGGAGGGAGGGAAGGACCAAAGCTGCCCTGCAATCTGCAAGTGCACATAAAATAAGAATCCTCTGGTGAGTGCCAGCCTGACTAGATGGCTTGATGGAAACAGACAAGTTGTGTGAGCTTTGGGGATATGTTCAAGAGAAACAAGCAGCAGGTGGGTCTGCGGGGAATGGAAAGTGGGAACGATCGCGGCAGTAAAAAGCTGGCGGGCCAGAGCAATGCGTGTTTCACACAACACATGGTGCATGCAACCCAATTCAAGGACTGCCATGCCAGCACAACGTTCACCTGGCTGGGGGGGGAATCTCACAACTGGCCTCTCCGCTCAGAAGGATCCAGCTTCCTCTTGTATGTAGGCAAGGAACTTTCCTACATGATAAAACTTCTGCAGAAGTTTTCCCAGGGCTGATGAAACATCTCATAGCTGACTAGAGGGAAGCGAGCCAGAGAAGGTTTTAGCGACGGAGACGGAACACACTGGACCTGGCGCTGACATGGCTTCCCAAAAGCAGAATATCAAACAAAGACTGCGTCACAATCCCTAATTATTAGGAAACATTCTCCCGTTAGCATCTTCTTTAGGTCAGGGATTCCCCAACATGGTGCCCCCAACATTCTGCCTGGTGCCCACTTAGAGAGAGAGCTCAAAAGTGGAAAGGAGGGACAGGAAGCTTTGTGCTGCTTCTTACCATCTGACCAGCAAAGAAGAGGAGGCTGGATTTATACCCCGCCCTTCACTCAAGAGTCTCAGAGCGGCTTACAATCTCCTTTCCATTCCCCTCCCCACAACAGACACTCTGTGAGGTAGGTGGGGCTGAGAGAGCTCTTTCAAGGACTGCTCTTGAGGGAACAGCTCTGAGAGAACTTGTGACTGAACCAAGGTCACACCAGCAGCTGCAACCAAAACCGGTTCTCCCAGATTAGAGTCAGTGCTCCTAACCACTACACCAAACTAGCTTTGTAAATATCAAACTCACTAGCAAAGCGTGGAATTCATCCCAGGCAGGAACATCACCATCAGATGTCCTTGGCTCAGCCATAGAAACAATCCACAAGAATAACACACAATCCCAAAACAGTCTAATGTGCAAAATTATACAGATGTGTGCTAGATGCCCACAGAACAATACAATAACAAAAGAGACTAGATTAGAGCCATAACATCATTTAGTGTCTGGTAATAAAAAACAACCACTTATTCCTTCATAGAAAAAATACAAAGGTCGATAAGATTTCACACAGCAGTCTGCTCCAGACTCTCTCAGTCTACCTCCCTCTAACAGTCTTGTATTCTCAAAAGCAGTCTGCTCCAAATTCAATCAATCTGTATCTCTCTTTCAACACTTTTTCTGGATATTTAAGTGTTTCAGACCTCTGGTCTTTCCTCGGGAACCAATCCTATATAGGAATCTTACTATATAGGAATATCAGTCTGATATTAAAGTTGACACTTTCATTGATTTACTTTTCTGTTAATCTATTTGGGCAAGGTCTCCTCCCTTATTCCCAAGCCTGCTGGTGCTGCTGCCAAAGTCAAATGGCTCCAGCAGAGGGGGGCGTGGGGGGGGGGGCAGGCTGCAGAGGGGAAAGAGGAAGCCCGGGCCTTCCCACCCACCACCCAACGCCCGCCCCCCTCCCTCGGCAGCACCAGCTGCAGCAGGTCCTCGAGGGCTGCCAGGCCGCACTGCAGAGGGGAAGGAGGGCGCCAGGGCCTTCCCCCCACCCCACAGCGCCGACTTACCTTGCCTTTTAGAGCAGCAGGCAGCAACGAGACAAGCACGCGCTCTGGTGCTCATTGCCACTGCTGCTTCTTTGCTTTTGAAGAGGGGGGGCAAGGGGCGGAGTCAGCTCAGAAGCCAGCCAGAACGCCATTCCAGGGTGTTCCAGCCCAAAGATAGCCCTGGAAATGCCCTGGAAATACCCTGTCTTATGTCTCTGAACTGAAACTGTGCCTGTGCAGGGAGCAAACCCTCCCCTTCATCTGGAAACTGAAACCAAGCAGCATCTCTTCCCCAAAGCAAAGAATGGATCCTGCCCTCCAATGGCAGGCATTTTGTAGATGGTTCTTAACCTTTCTTAACATTCTAAATGTACCTGGAGGCTGAATGAAGTCAGGAACCCTTAGTCGAGATTAAACCCAGAAAGCTAAACGTGTGGAGAATATGCATCTTCAACAGCTCTCCTAGCTCTGATCTACATATACCATTTCTGAGCCCCATGCCAAATTCTAGGTTACCAGGCACACCCCACAGATACACAATTCCACTCCCTTCCATTTTTGAAAAAAATAATGCAGCAATATTACACCTGGTAAAAGCAAGTTGGCAAATCCTGGTCTGGACTATCCATTAAATGTAAAACTGTTGTATGGTGGTCAGCTCTACAAAGGAAGGTGATGGAAAAGAAGTTATGAGCCATTGGGTGCTGCCTAATTCTTGGTAATAGTTAGGAGATCTGAGTGACATATTTCAGGTCTGTTTGTTCCTGGTCACTGACATCTTTTTCTTCTCCGCTCTGTCCATACACATGATCTTCCTTAAAAATCTGTAGACACAGGATTTGGCTCTTTTTATTTACTGCACCACTATAGTATGAATCTGTCCAACTGCATACTCCAACAATGGATACAAAGACAAAAAAAATTTTTTAAGAGCGAGACGCGTGGCAGGAAAGAGTCCTAAGGCGATCATAAGTTGCTCAAAGCCAGAAGCAACCCACCGTAACCTCCCCCCAAAGGGAAACTAGCAAAGAGTGCAAGGGGCAGGCCTAGATCAACCATTAAGCAAAATAAACACGTGCTTAAGGAACCAAAGAGGGGGGGGCACCACGGGGGGTGGGGGTTGCTTATATTGCTTACTGTTATTTAGTGTTAAATAAATCATTTCTTTTAAAAGTTTATATTTAATATAGTTGTGGGGTCTGGCCTGGAAGACAACTGAATCTTTAATCTCTTGTTTCACCTTCAGCCCTTATTGTGTCTTAATGTCTCGCCAGTTAAGCAGTGGAAGGGCCGAGGGGCACCACTGTTGGGCTGGGCTGAGGGCATCAGCTGGCCTTAATCCGGCCCTGACAATGGGAGAATTTATGCCTGTACAAAAGCGGCTCAAAATTTAAAATCAAAGGGGGATGCAGGGAGAGAAAAATCTCCAAAAAGGGGTGAGGAAGGACTGATACCTGGGAGAAAAGATGCTCTTAAAACAGCAGGGAGCTTTTCCTATTGGCAACAGAGGACAGGACTCACAAGAATTGGTTTAAATTAAGGGCGGGAAGGTACCAGCTGGATATTAGGAAAAAACATTTACAGTCAAAGTTGTGCAACAGTGGAATCCACTCCCTAGGGAGGTGGTGAGCTCCCCCTCACTGGCAGTCTTTAAGCAGCGGCTGGGCCAACACTTGGCAGGGATGCTCTCGGCTGATCCTTCATTGAGCAGGGGGCTGGACTAGATGGTCTGTAGGACCCCTCCCAACTCTGTGATTCTCTGATTCTATCTGTTCAGCCTCAACTGCAGGGATGTCGGGCCTCTTTAGTGAGACAACAACGTAGCACTCCACTTCTTGCTCACCGATAAGCAGATGCAGGGACGAACTAGCCAAAGGGGAGCGGTGGACCGATCAAGCTCCCACATCATTTTCAGGGGCAGATCTGCACCAAAATGAGCTGATATCTATCCACAGACACTACTGACAGATGCACATTTAATCACCAATGACAGCAAACAGTCCAACTAGTTATAAAAAGCAAAAAAGATAAACTTACCAACCACCATTAGGGTGAACTCAAAGCCCTTCTTTACAGACTTCCTGTGGACTTGGTTGGGGAGGTTAGCAAAGCCAACATATCCTGCAGAATCAGAGAACTGGGGAAGCAAGGGGGTGGGGGGAAACATAAACCAAAAATGAAGCCCACTGAGCCAAAAAAAGCACACAGATGCTCAAAACACATGAAACAGAACATGGCCTTAACAGAGACCTCAAAACAAAGGACTGTTTTCGATATTCAAAGGCAGCCACAACAGGAGAGAGTGAATTGCACATCTTATCCCTCCGCTTCTGGATCTCCTGCAAATGGGAGAGGTCCGTGTTCTGTATCAAGCAAATGTCTGTCTCTCAGTGGGAGATACACACATCTTCCCTGCCCTTCATGAGGCTTGGATTAATCACACTTCCTTTCCTGCTGCCTCTAGCAAAGGTACATTGTTTACTTAGCTCTGGGCAGCAGAAGATGACTGACGAAGGTCGAGTTTCTTCTCAAGCCAAAGCTGCTAAAGGATCAGGTCCTATATTGCAAATAGTATGGGGAGCACATTCTCTAGGAGACATTTAAGATATCCTGCAGCCCCCACATAAAACTCACAGGAACAAAAAAGTCAACAAACTTTCAGTTTTGTGATTCCTAAGAAAATAATGAAACTATTGAAAAAGCTAAAGACACCTTAGGCATTTTAAATGGAGAGGCAGGATATAAATATTTTAAATGTGTTAACAAGTTAGCTAGTTCATTAACTAAGCAACATTCTTAGTAGGTACTCTTGATATGCTATTCCCAGGGGAGACACTGAAAGGGGAGAAAGCTAGCAGTATCAAGGAGTACTAGTACTCTGCACATGGAATAGAAGTCTGCTTGCTAAGCAGCAAGGATTACTTCTTGACTTTTAAGGGACTTTTTAAAAAATAATGCAGGGTACTATTTATAAATTTTTAATGGACAAACAGATATCAAAAGTGAAGCAACCATCTCCCACAGTCAGCTGGAAGTACCATTACGGATAACCGGGTGGGGGTACAAAATGGGCAGGGACGGTGAATTGGCAGAGCATAAATGTTGTATGTCAAAAGAGCTTTTGGTATTTCCACAGTTTATGTATTTCCTGAAAAGCTATCCTCTGCCTGAAAGCCATTTCCTGTCAGAGTAGACAATATTGAGCTAAACAGTCTGACTTGCTATTGGGTAGCTTTTTACACTCCTATTTACATGCAGCATTTATATTGCACCTTCCTGCCCCATCGAGGACCACAGCTCATGAAATTCCAATGTGCAGAACATCATTCCTTCCTAAATTTTCTTTCCACTTACTTTTGCTTTTTCACCAGACTGAGACATGACGTCCTCCCCCACCACAAACTTGAGCACCGGGGGGGGGGGGGGAGATAAATACAGCAAGTTGCTCGTTATCTGAAACTGAAGACGTTATTCACAAACCAAGGACTCATCCCAAAATGTGCTGCTATAACTTCGGAAGGCCAAGTGCTTCCTCCCCCTCCCCAAGCTATGTAAATATACAAAGGTTCAAAAGTTACACAGTCATAGCTTAATAAAAGTGGTTATGGCTATCTGTTAATTTGTGGGATAATAAAGTGAAGGATGATATGAAGCCATTTGATTTCTATAGGGCATGGCGGAGCACTCTCTCTCTCTCTCTCTATTTATATGATAGATGAAGACAGATATGGATGGATGAATGGATGGATGGATGGATGGATGGATGGATGGATGGATGGAGGGCTCAGACCTGGAAGACCCAGACTACTCATCCTCAGGAGCTACACAGGATCAGCCCCGAGTACTACTTGGATAGGAGACTACCAAGGAAGTCCCGGGTCACTCTGCAGAGGCAGGCAAGTTGAGACTTGATGACATTTCCTGCCAACATACATATGGCACATTAAGCTGTTAAATTTATATGGACATGATCTGTTTTTCTTTTCCTCTTCTTGTTTGAGAATCCATTACAAGAATTTAAAAAGTGGTTATTATGGCTAGTGTGACTGTCCAGTTATCTGGGCTACTCGCTGAACACGTTTCAGAGTGCAGCCGTGGGTTGGTCTGCAGTGGAACAGCTAGATTCAAGTCTCGAGTCCACTAGCAACCTTGCAACCACCAAGATTTTGGGGGTATGAGTTTTCGAGAGTCAAAGTGTATATCCCCAAAATCTTGTTGGGTCTCTAAGGTGCTACTGGACTCAAATCCAGCTGTTCAGTAAAGCAAGTCAGTATCATTATAACCCCATATCGCAGTTTTGGGGTGTGCGTATATGGGTGTCAGCCAGACAGAATAATGCCTAACCTAAGACCACCTGGTAAGCTCATGGCAGAGGAGAGTTTCTAACCAGGGACTTCTTGATTCTCCGCTCACAGCCAGGACACTAAATCAGAATCAAAAACAAGCCACCTCTGTGTATTTATCCATCTGGTAGCGAGGACATTTAAGAGGAACTGCACATTTCCCTCCCACCCCTTTCTTTTCTAAGCTATCAATTATAGGTTCCGTCAAGTGTTGTACTGACCGGTCCGTTTTCTCCTTCTACATTTAGCTGACTATTTGCATTTTGCCGTACCTTTTTGCCATTTCCTGCCACCAGTGGTGACCCTCAGAAAGCAACAGGGAAGCACCTGCATCCGGAAGTCACAGGTGTCTGTCTCAAGGTCACTTCCCCCCTTTCAGGCTGAGACATGCGTTGCCAAGAAGCCCAGCGGTGACATCTTCCCCCCTTTCCTTTTACATTCATGAAGCTGTTCTAAATAAAGCAGCAGTTTTGATCCATATTCAAAACGACAAACCATATGGAAGACTGATGGGATCCCCAGGGCTGGGCTGGGCTGTTCCCTGGGTTAAGGAAAAGATGTGCACTGAAGCAATTTGGCTGTTTTATGCAGATTAAATTCATTTGCCTATTTCTGCATGTCCCCGTGTGTGTCCTAAGAGTGCCACTTGACCACATTAAGTCAGTGACAGCCGGGCTTTTTCTTGCATGGGTCTGCCACATGTAATTTGACCTTTCAAGATTCACATTTCTGCTGACAAAGCACACATGTGACTGTCTGGTGATCTTAAGGTGCATCGTCCGTAACTGACAAAAGGCAAACCTGGCAGGTACAGACTGCAATCACTAATATTAGAAATATAAGCAGCCTAAATCTCCATGTTCTTAAGCAACGGAGCAAACAGCCACTTATTTATTCCAAACAGTCATTTTCAAAGGAGACAGCAGTTTTCTAAAACAATACCGAGTACAAATATTTTTGAACTGGACTTCCGAGAGCTAATGAGCATAACTTTGCCATTACATAACATGGTAAACTATTGCTCATCAAAGATGGATTTCTCAACGACAAGTACTGTACCAACACATTTCCGATCTCACGGGAGCGCAGACTTTTGAAAGTTACACTCCAAGTGCACACAAAGATCAGGTTCAGACTCCACTCAGTCCAATGCTTAGACACACACACACGGAATGTCATCCTATCAAACCCCCATTATGAAAAGAGGGCCCTTCTGGAAGAAGCAGGAAGGAACCCGGTTCATTTCCTTTTGTTACTTCAGGATGCAAAAAAAAAGTAAACTCTTCAGTGGGCAGTTGAGTCCTTCCCTCCCCCATCATCACAGGAAAATGAAAACCGTTCTGTAAAGTTTTTAAGTTTGCTCTGTAAAGGGAGAAAGGCCAACAGGGTGTTTTTGCTTGTAACTCTAATTTCATCCAATGAATGTGAAATGAGCAAAGACTAGTACTCTACTGAGACCGCTTGTACCATCAGTGCTATAATAAGTAGATTCCATAACTGCTCATTTGCACAAGCTGAAGAACCTCTTCAGATTCAGTTTCCCATTTCTTGTGCAATAATTTCACACAGCAAAGTGCAGAACAGCCCTTCCACATGTGGAAGAACACGTGGAATCCAACACAAATGGCTGCATTAGGCATTAACAAACAGGTTGGTTGGGATGAGTACAAGCCAGGAAAACTTCGGACTCACAGTCTCCCAAGCTCATGAAGAGACTGAGCAAACCACAATTTGTCGTGGTGTCCCAGACAAATGAAATAACAAACACCTCTAAAACGGGACTCAAAACCACAGCTTAATCTTGGTTTACAGGCAACAGAGGCTCACTTTGTACAGATTTTAAACATTAAATATCACAACCACTGTGGTTTGTTCCATTTTTGTGAATGTGAGAGAGAAGGGGGAAGGGGAGGGACCACACACGCCTGAAGACTTCCTACCTCACTCCCATTGTGAGCAAACCAACTTTTGCTTGTAGAGTCTGCATTTCTGTGTGCTTGCTCATAAGAGAGTGAGAAGACTTAGCGTGAAGGCAAGGGCCAAACCAATGGCCCATCTAGCTCTGCATTCCCAAACTCTGAGAATAGCAGCTTGCATCAGGACAGTGTAACTCTTGTCAGCTAACAGAACATGCAAGTGAGTCCTTTTCATGTCTCTGCACAGGGAGAAGAGAATTTATGAAATCCATTTATTTATTTAAATAAATAAATAAATAAATAAGTTAACAAATTAAATTTGTTTAAAAATTAACTTACTGCTTTAAGAATATTATTTTGCCTGTGCACCAAATAAGCATACCTGTTGAGCTGGCTAAGAAACCCTGGCAGAATCTGCCTTCACTTTGCAAGCATTTAATGAATTTAAGGAGGGGGGGGGATGCGGCTTCTGCTGGCCATCCCTTTACATAAGCCCTTCTCTCATGAACCCAGCCATTTTCAGCCTACGCTATTACTCGTAACAAGGACAGTTAGTGCCGAAGGGCTGGTGGGAACTCCTTGCACATGTGCACAGTACAAGAGAGAAATACTGACCAGATTTTAATAGGAAGATAAATGCTTTTCGAAAAGAGAACTAAATGTGTTGTCGTTGTCAACTTCCACATGAATTAGGTAAAAAGGTAAATTTTTCCCTTGCTCGAAAGCCAGTCGAATCCGATTCTAGAGGGCGGTGCTCATCTCTCTTTCCAATCTGAAGAGCAAGCACTGTGCTAAGACTTCTCCGTGGTCATGTGGCCAGCGTGACTAAATGCCAAGGTGCACGGAACGCTGTTACCTTACCACCGAAGCAGTACCTATTTATCTACTTGCAATTTCTTGCTTTTGAACTGCTAGGCTGGCAGGAGCTGGGGCCAGAGACGGGAGCTCACTCCATCACATGGCACTCGGGTCTCGAACTGCCAAGTTACCAATCTTCTGGTCTGCAACTCAGGGTCTTAGCCTCTAAGCCACACGGCCCCTCACATGAACTACAGAACTACATTAAAACTGGAACATCTGATTACTTCCATAGACATTCCTGGTAGCTACATTAAGCATTACCCAATCAGGTTTAGTCAGAATAAATCCTCTCTAGTGTTTTTAGAGTATCATTCCACTATTTGCGCAGGTAAAGTATTTTATGTAAGGCCACCGTCTCTATTGTACTATAGGCATCAAAAACTCAAAGAGTCCCACCTGGTCCCACTTTCCAAAAACATTTGGCAGATGCCAGAAAAGGTGTTGGCAGGTGGCATAGCATCCCCCCAAGAACGATATTGGGGAACACCTGGTAGGCTGTTCCTGTCAAAATAATATATTTCCCTTTCATTTTAAACAATGTTTATGTTCTGTAGTTCAAACTTATTATCTCTCTTATGGCAAAAACCAAGATATACATGCCAGGGTAGCACGGAACACAGCACACTAACTTGCAGCTTTTGTATAAAAAACCTACACAATTATACACACAGTTATAAATGATGCACTTTACGTTGTTTAAAGCAGGAAAATTATACATTGCATATATTGCAATTTCCTCCAAAACGGCCAGATTTTTTTCTGTGAAAAGGTAGTTTTCTATAGCTTCAAAATTTCATATCTCTAGCAGAAAGGCAATGATTCTGCGTACAGCTTTCCTTGCCACTGCAAATGCAGAGGCATTCACAATGGCAATGGAGCATCCGCACAGCAGTTTCCCCCATACTTTTCTGGCCTTGCTCCCAATCAATTAATGAGAAAAGCCACCACTGGAGGGCTTTTTCATTCCTAAACTGGAAATTGACATATTGCGACAGTGCTGTATCTACTCAGTCCTCTGAATTCACAGCTTTCATTTTCGGAGAAGTAAGCTTCTAGTTCCTTTTGGTGCTGAGCTTTAAAGACTTATCTCTGCTATGAAAATGGCTAACTTTAACTAATAGTTAGGAAATCAGAGGCTACATCATTGTAATGCCAGTTTGGTGTAGTGGTTAAGTGTGCGGACTCTAATCTGGGAGAACCGGGTTTCTGCTGATGTGACCTTGGGTCAGTCACAAGCTCTGGCACAGCTGTCCTTGAAAAAGAGC